ACGCATACTTGAGGAAATATGCGTGAGAGTTAGTCAAAGTCATAATGGTTTAGAGTGAGTTCAGATTACACTAACCTCCTAACACCATTGGGTCATTCAGTCTAACATTAGTGACTTAAGTTTTTGTAATTTGAGGTATAATGTGTTATTTTTATAAAATGTAATCTAAACTCAGGTTCACCCAGTACAATTCCTTGTTTTTTTGCATGAACTAGTTTGTGTGTTGCAACCCCTTTTAGTGATACGTGAATCTTCCCTTGGTAAAGATTTGCCTTATGACTAGGATAAGCTTGAACATATGACTGGCGGGAAGAGCCTAAGAGGACCTCTATTGTTTGTTTGTGTAAAATGATCCTGTAGATCGGTCTGTAAATGTGACTGATGCGATCTGATGTCATGTCATAAAACAACATACACAATAAAACACTACTTGTCCATATATCAACAAAACAAGACATGGCATGGACTTGCATAGATAAAAATAAAGATACCAATCCTAAAAGTTAATTTTATATACATTCACACTTCTGTCCCCTTTTTTCCATTTACTTTAATAAGAGTTTTACCCTAATTTTCATAGCCTCTAATAGAGTCTTAGTGTATAATCAGTAACAAACAGGTGATGAATGTTAGAAGTGATCAGATAATTACAGGTCTGTGTTGACTTATTAAATTCAGTTGAGCTGTAGAGAATATATTTAGTCCTGAACTCTCTTATGCTTGAATTACTCCTTATCCTAGTTATGTGCAGAACTTACATAGATTCCAGGTATCTTATATTCAGGATAAAAATGCAGCTTGCCATTAATATTTCATGCACACCCATTTTTAACCCAACCCTCATTAGCTATGTTTTGATGCACTTCACTTTATTCCCTCCTCCCCCTCCTCTCATACACCCAAACACATTAAACTTGATGGTATGCACTGGTTTAGAAACCATTCCCCTCACTTATTAAAATGAGACAATGTGTTTATGATTGCCCCCCCTCTGGTGTGTCTCTCCTCCCTTTGATCCGTCCTCTCTGCGTCAGCCTCAAATGTTAGATATTCAAATCTGGTTACATTTATTTTTGTTTCCTTTACAGGAGATGGGCACATCTGACAGACTGACTATTAGGTGTTATTATTTCCCCTTATTTCAGTAGACGCCTCTTCATACACTACACATAAACCTTATTTTGATTGAGTAGGTTACAACCATTGTCATGAAGCTTTTGAGGAAGGCGAGAATACAAATAGACAGATGCAGAATAAAAAAGTGTTGAAAGGGTTGTTTTTTAAAAAGCAACTCAGGTATAAAACAAACCACTCCTCACTGGGTCATCCTCCGTCTGTGACGCCCAGTTTTGTTCTCTCCGACTGCCAGTCCAACAGCTGCTCAGAAAAACAAGGGGTCGATTTTCAACCTCAAGCCTCTGACGCATGATGAGGTTGTCAACTGAACAGGCCGTTTTATTTATAAATCTTTCTGCAATGATACAAATGTGCGAATGCATCTCTCAAACTTTGACTGTCACCCGAATGAACGCATGACATAAAATAACCATACAAGAAAAGTCAAATATTTGTAAAGCCAGATCAATAACTTTTGAAAACAATTTCAGAAAACTTTGACCAAGACCTAAGAGGCCTTTTTATTTTTTCATTGAGGTTGAGAAAGTTTCATAGCGCTCCTCACTTATAGTTATTTTTTTCCCATTTAGATTTTTTCCCAGTCCCAGCCTTATTTTAGCATTATGACTTGATTTTCACAAACCTGCAAAATCAGAGCGTGGAAAGTGTCTCTTCATTTGACATTTAAAGGTTAATATTTAAAATAATTTAAAGAACTAATTACACCTAATTGCCCAAGCTGTCAACACTTGACCCAGAGCACTATGATTTTTCACAGGGTACGTTACACTAATATGTCTCTTTTATACCTAAAAGAGGCGTTGAACTGGGGGACAGCAGACTGAGGTGAACAGGTGATTAATTTTTCATGAGTTTGATATGACTGTTTCCTGTCTCATCTGCAAGGAGAAAGTATGTGGTAATGCAACTTCAAACAAGACTACTAACCCTGCGGAGCAGTGCGAGGTATGGAGAGGAGAGAAAAAGACAAGCTGCTTAATCTTAGCGGGATTACAGCGTTGAATTGACCAAGAGCAACCGAGCCAATGGAACCCAGGTAGTTTAGGTTTGAGAATGTGTGTAAATAATGTTTTTAAACTCTGGTGGAGAAATGCTAAAGTCTTAATTTATTTGTTATTTTGTTGGACTAAAGGTCTTCAAACTTAAATTGAGTCAAAATAAAAAAACTAGAATCAGTTTATAAAATATACGTTTTTAATTGAAGTTCCCCCTAGGTCTCTAAAAACAGCAAAATTCACAAAAACCAAAAATTGAAAAATAAAATAATATGCCCTATTTATATATATATATATATAAATATATATATATAAAATATAATATGAAAATGAAATTCCCTCAGTGTTGTACATGGCTGCACAGACAAAATATTATTATTATTATTATTATTATTATATTATTATTAAATAAAGCAATAGGCAATAGTGTTAGTTAATATTATCAAAAATCATCACTTGTGGTGCAAATAATTTCTTTTAACTAGTTGTCACCAGTTGCAATTTGATTGAGTTATTTTATGTTTTCATTATCCCTTTTTCTACATGTGCTATTTTATTCTATTATTAATTTACTACAATTATTATAATCATACATTAATTATTAATGTGCCAATTATTTTTTCAATTCATCAATTAATCATTTTGTCGTGTAAAAAATAGTGAAAAGTTCCCATCAGAATTTCTTGTTTTCTCCGACCAACAGTTCAAACAGCTTTAATTCATCATCACATAAGACTTAGAAAGTGTCTGGGAATGTTTGGTAATTTTGCTTGTAAAATGGCTCATACATTAATTAATTAACACAATTATGTATTAATTTTCTGTTGGTCGGTTAATCAATTAATAGAAAGAACATTACAAAAACCTTTGCATTCCCTGTGGCCTTTGTTTTTCTTTTTCCTTCCATAAAATGAAAAATCATTGTAAAGAATCTTCTCTGGCGTCATTTACACCATTTATTTTAGTGGTGATTTCAAATCAAAACTCAAAGGCAAATGAATGCATCCAGCCACAAAACAGTGCATTGCTGTGTAGCAGTCTGAATTCACTGACAATAGCAGCTGTTTGTGATCTGTGGAGGTAGACATCAGCTGTGGGTAAAGGGTATAACAAATTGAGGGGGACAAGTGGAACAAACCTGAGTGTTTATTTGTTGGTGTATGCTCGCCATGCTCTAAATTAGACATCACCGCTGTGTCTTGTCACCGGCACAATCCAAATACGTTGTGGGCAAAAGAGATACTTAAATCCGATTTATTCGCTCTAACATGATTTAAATGAGCCTCTTGGCTCGTCCGGACAGATTGACAGCATTGTCTTTATCGCCGCTTTGTTTTATTTTTGGCTGTTTACTCTGCCTCTCTGCTGTCATCTCACATGATGACTTTAAAGGAGCCTGCTTCAATCTTCCAAGATCTGGAGAGAATAAGCCTCCTTTTATGTTCTAAGTGCTTTATATGACGAATATGAAAAGGGATTCAAGAGAGGGATGACAAGTTTTGTGTCGCCCTGCTCCTCAGCTGCAAAGAGCTGCGCAGAGAGAAGTCAAACCTACAATCTTATAACATGAGAACGTGAACAAACGTGAGCAAAGAGGTAGACCCCTCTGGTTCAGGATCTTGCTGGGTCAAAGTCATTTAATGCAATGTAATGTACAAACAAAAGGCATTTCTGTAGAACAAGGCCTGAATCTTGAATGTACTGTAGTTTGTATACGCTTCAGTGTGAGTCTTTCTGTGCTGTTTGTGCCTCTTTATCAAAAAAAGACCACTTGGTTTTGCTGCTATGAACAAGAACAACACTAGAGTATCAATCAGTCCCACCCTGGCTTCAGTTTTATTCACCCTGTCAATCCAAGGATATTTATTTATTTATTTTTTAAGACATAGCAAATCACCTTGATAAATTTCTTTTAATATTTCAAAAGGTCCTTGAATCTGTTTTCCAAAAAATCACCTCAGAGATAACGCATCTTTTCCTTCCTCTTGTCAGCTTAGTTGGACTGTTGAAAAAAAAAAAGGAACAAAATCTATACAGCAGAATCAGATGTTGTGTGCTTTTTATTTAACACATTCCTGTTCCTTGTTAAAATGCCTACAAAGCGCCTACATTATCAACAATGCAATTTGACCACCGACCGTTCATTGTGGGTCCGGATGTGTTATGCTATTAGCAGCTAATGTAACCTCGAGCTGCTACTACTGAAGCAGGGATGATATCAGACACTGCAGCTCTCTGGAGTCACAAAAGCTTTATACAACTTTTTTCACATGTGCACTAATACTCCCCAGGACCTGTAAACAGACTCTGAGTCACCCTACTGTTCCCCTGATGCTAGTATTTATGCTAAGATAAGCCAGTGATCTCATGGCTCTAGTCCCAGGTATCAATCGTCTCATTTAAGTCTCAGGAAGAAAGTGAAAAGAAATATTTCCATAAATGTCAAATTCCTCCTAAAGGAGCTATTTGTAAGTTTTGCTATTGCTACATAGCTAACATTAGCATTAACAGCTGTTTACTTACCAGTCTAGAAGAAACGTTGTGAGTTCAGCATCAGACCTCATTCCATTACTCACCAAGAGCTGTCTCCAGTGTTGGAAAGCAACCCTCTGGTTTTGTTTCTTATTTCGATCACTTCTTTTCTTATACTGAAGTTTGTATGCTAACCGGCTAGCTCCAGTTTGGCAGGCCAGCCTCGTCATTTTCTGATACCGAGTCACAGTATCCAGTCTGCCCTGAATAATTAGCACTGCTCAGAGGACATTATAACCTCTTGCCTTGTAAAAGCAGCAATGACTGAAGCTCTTGGCAAGACTGATAAGTAAACAGCTGCTAATGCTAATACTGGCTATGTAGCAATAGCAAGACTTAGCGCTTCATCTGGCACATAAGCAATATTGCCCTCACTGAAGAAGAGTGAGAAGCCTTGAAGTCAAATCTCCTCTTAATCATGTGAGTTGGAGTTATTATTATTTTAGCAGCAAATAGTGTAAAAATAATGAGTAGAAACCTTGGTGATCACATAGAATGGTAGTTTGTGCTGTTCACACCTTCACACAAGCAACATCATCATCATCATCTCCACACGTGTCTTGAAAATGAGTCCTCGGGCAAGGCGGTCCAGCTGCTTCCTAACTGTGGTGGCAGATCTCGCAGCACTCCAGGCAAAACTCGAGAAAGTCGATTGGCTCGCAGCAGGACTCGAACAGGACCGAGTGGCAGTGGGCGTGGCAGTTGAATTCCTCCACGGGCGCCTCCTGAATGGCCGAGCAGCAGCGGGCGCAGGCGTGGCAGCAGGAGGAGCAGATGGGGTGGAGACAGGAGTAGCAGGCCTCCAGCAGACCCAGGGGCAGCAGGGAAAGCTCGCACGACAGGCACGCCAGCAGCAGGTTAAAACAGGTGTCTGTGGGCATCACAGTGAGGAAACAATGAGACGGAGAAGTGATTTAGCTTCAGGTATCATATCTGAGGTCATGAAAAGCTGTTGTATGTTCTAAAAGCCTGTCAGACACAATCAAAAATGAGGATTAACGACTCTATTAACCCCAAATTAATCTCTCACGTGTTTGTTTGTTGTGCCAAATGGAACTTGAAAGAGAAACTACTCTTCTGCAGTGATCAAGTGTGATTGTGTTTACCTAATAACAGAGGTTCGTTCAGTCCTCCAGGGAAAATAAAAAAGGCCATAGAGGCTGTCGGTGATGAACAACAACTAGGAAGAAGCTGTCACAAGATAATTGCTCTCCTACCCAAATTAGGTGCAGATGAAATTGCATACATTAACCTCGCCGGCGTGTTATTGTGCATCTCTCGCGATCCTAACCATGTATTATTACTCAGGTACCGTTTTCATCCTCACAAAGACCAGATAGTCAGTGAGCTCATGCAAATCAAGCTGTTTTATCCTGTTTACTCACGGAAGTAAATGAAAAGGAGACGGCAGAATTCCCTGGGGAGTGGGGTTCAGCATTTTCCTGCTTAACTGCTCGAATTATACACCCCCCACACATAACTTATGCTAATATCTGTGTGTAGATGAAGACGGAGCATTATCTGTGGCTACTGCATTGATTTAATGCGTCGCTTCATAGAGATAACATGAACACAATGATAAACAAAGAGTGGCCCCCCACATGCTTTGATAAAACTGGAAGGAAGTGCAGCAGTTGGAAAGTGTCCAAGGCAAACTTTATAGAGCTCCATTTGTTTAGAAAGAAAAATCGCCTTTGGTGGTGACAGAAAAATCATCTCAATGCACAGGTTTTTCTGTGCTCGCTAAAGATGAACGACTGACCAAATGTTTCAAATTGCTAATTATTTGAGAATTCTCATCTGAATTAAATGAACTCTTTTTCCCAGTTTTCAATAAATAAAGTGTCTTAATTTCATGGAATTAAACTGAGAATAGACACAACAAACATAGATCCATTTGGGAACTCTTTAGCCACTGCATGGGAGACAGTTGTCTTCCACTAAAAAACTTTGGGTAGAGTATATGTTGTTGGATCTTCAGAGGTATTTTACGTGATCTAAGTGATGTCTATTGTCTCCCCAGAGTCACAAACTGTTTGCCAGGTTCAAACTGTCATTTATATTCAACCTTTCCACAGACTGAGTCGGCCACGACCTGACCCAGCTGCCACACAGTGTTTGAAAATGTTGGGTTTTAACTTAAGTTTCACCTCCAGAAAACTTTTTATCCTTTGACAGGAGACATCAATAAGATCACTGTTAAATCCTCCGTCTTGAATCTTTTTGTCTTGTCATACCTAAGCGTACTGTTAGAAAATGGCCCAAAAACGCATAAATCTCACGTTTGTCATCTTATTTGAGTTTTATTTTCAAGTGCGACTGGTCTCATTGCTGCCCCTTGTGGCTGAAGGGGGGAAAAGACGCCTTTTAAAACCGGTACGGTGCAGGTTCTCACCAGCTCTCAAATTTTCACAGCCACAAAGGGCTGTAGGAAGTTGCCATACTAACTATACTAAAAATACTCGGAAAAGCTGCAAAAATTTGACATTGGCTTTATTTGAAGTGTTTTTAAGCAGTTGTTGGTCTGACAAGTGAAAAGACTTAAAGGTCACATCAGTTTAATTTCTCAACTTCCGCATAAGTACCACACACAGGCGCTTCACTAAGCTTTTCACTGAAAACCATCAAGCCGGGCAGCAACAGACAATGACATTAAACCACTGTTCAACCAATCATTCAGCTCAAAGCTCAGTCAACAGGTCTGTACTGTCATACTGTAATTAATCCAGACAAACATGAAAAAGCAGACAGGGAAAGGAAATATCATGTACTGATTCTACTGACTGTATTTACTTTCTATCATTATCTATATACATGCGACAAATTATCATGATGCGTGAAGTCATACTGTTGTACCTACCACTTAGTGTAGCTGCAGGTTGATGTGAGCTAGCCACGCTGTCCCTGCTCCTGTTCCTCCTCCTGCCGCTGCTGCTGCTGCTGTGCACCAACGAGCTGGAGCCCTGCACTCGGCTCAGGCTGGGGGGAAGAGCGGGAGGAGGGTCTGGGACCGTGAGGTCACATCGTGGGCATGTAGGCTTCTGGGGGTCACACTGAGGCCTCCTCAGCCCTGGTGCCTCCTGTGAGGCAGGCAGAGGCTGGGCTGGGTCACACAAAGATTGAAATTATAATTACTGTAGAACAGGAATCAGGTGGAGACTCCTTAGTGATAAAACTAGCACAAAGCAAATTCAAGCTCTGATCTAATATTCAAAATTAGAGTGCACACGGTGTCATGCACTCATGTATCGATCACAGATGCGTTATCAGACAGACAAGAAAGCCAAGAATACGTGTTAGTAAGGAGTCTGATGTTTGGTGTGAACATTTGTCTATTTTGTCAGTTAATAGACTTGTTAATGAGCTGATGAAACAATGAATCATTACTTTCCTTCTCACTAACTCGTCTTCACTTTAACAAAGCTGATTTGTTTTACTGTTCATTTTGGTCACTGTATTGTTTGTTGTTCAGGTCTGGGGGTTTCCACTTACTGCTGATGAGCTCAGTGGGGATGGCATTTCCTCTGCTAACAGGGTCACGTGCTGAAGGGATTTCCTGTGGCGATTTAAAAGACGCACCACCTTGAGACACATCAAAATAAAGTTCTGTTAGCTAACAAAAGATTCCTCGCTGACCACACATGAATAATAAAACCAGGACTTTTTTCCACTTGTTTTTATATATGCGTGTGTTTTGGAATTGAATATTAATTATCTATCAAATTAAATCTGTGCAGACTGATCCTTCCTTAAAGAGTTTTCTAACTCTTGCATGATTCAATAAGCTGCGTCATTGGGGAGTCTCAGTATCCCATGATGCCCTCCCTGCTGTTTCAGGGGCTCTGGCACTTTTCTGAATATAAAGTTTTTCAGGGAAATACTGAAACCTCGCAGTATTTTTAGCAAACTGTAGCAGCACAAAATATTATCCAATTGGTTGAAGCTTAAAACAAGTGGCCAGAGCAGCGGTGTGTATATACTTTAATAAAAGAATAAACTGGTCATTAGTACTAACCTTTAGTCTGGTTGCTCTCGTCTTCCTTCTCGTCCACAGGTAAATGGTCTCCAGGTAACATGTCTGACACTCATGACTGCTCAGGATCTCCGTTACACTTTGTTCACCCAGTCACCTTCTTCATCCTCCTGCTTCTGTCCACAGCAAAAGGTCAGGAAACCTCCAGCAACACCCAACATGCCGGCCTGAGTCACCGCTCAGCAGACTGTGAGCTGTTAGTGTGTGTGTGTGTGTTTTGTTGTTGTTCGGGGGACTTAACAACACTCCCCTCCCCAGCAGATCTCTGGGTGGCTTCTGTGAACATGCTGATCACAGACCAGCAGAGACCGCTGAGGCCTGGATGTGTGACTCCAGGTTACCTTCTCTGTTCTGCTTTTAGTCACCTAACACAATGGAGACACATACCCCACAAGTGTGTTAGCTGAATACTGTATGGATGCAAGCTCTCTCGCCCTCTTATGCTCACAGGCGCACGCACGCACACACACGCACACACACACACACACACACATATAAAACCGTCAACGCTTTACACTACGAAAACCAAAAGAAAAATATCAGTTAACATTATATGTATTTATTTTCAAGTTACATATTTATGAGCAACATTTCAAATAAACACAAAGGAACAGAATCATGATTATATATAAGCTACATACCTTTGAACAAAATCTCATGGTCTTCTGTGGTGGATGGAGTTTGCAAACACCATCTCCGGCCTGATATCTAAATGAGCCATGTTGTGTTACCTTTTGACGCCCATTATCATGTGGTAAAATGTATGTAAAACACTATTGTTTAATATAAAGTGTAATATGAGAACACGTTTGTTTGTTTTTCCCATGACTCCCTGCAGGCTCCAACAAAGCCCGTTGTGCCACGGTGGTTTATATGAGATTGTCATGTCACTTCATTTTTTTCTCCATGTAACTACAGCCTCACTCAGACACTAGTGTGGCTTTAGACCTTTATTCTTGTTTTCAAATGGTTCAGCTCAAGGGATTCGACCCCTAATTCAGAGTTTGTATTTCAACCTCCAAAATTAAAGACAGTGAGTGACGTTGACTGTTTATCTTGGTGTGTAAAAATATTATTTTCCCACAGATGAGGACTTTTTGAGGAGACTGAACACGTTTGGCGACAGCATCATCGTCACACGCTGATGAGAAGACGAGCAGAGACCAGCCCTTTTCTGAGGGGCTGTTGACTAAGTGCTGTCAAAAGTGCTGCGTTGAAAAACATGTTGACTTGCCCGCCTCACGGTGAGTATATGGCACATCAAAGCAACACATAAGTGAAGCTGTTGAAGTTGTCTAGCGCCATGCTAACTTTCAGTCAGTAAACACGCTGCATGGAGAGGCAATCAGAGGAAAATGTCATCTAGTGGGCTGACAGCGAATCAAAGGAAGCCCTGAGAGGCAACAGCAAACCTAAAACGAACTCGTTATCAGCAAAGACAATTACTGACATTAGTCAAAACACGGAACTGAAAAATCTGAGGCCTTTGTTCTTTCATTTGGTTGTGAAGTCTACAGGAACGGCTTCTCCTCACAGTGTTCATCAGTGGATGAGACGATGCGATCCAGTTGGGACTGTTTGTCCATGAATTTCATTATTAATTGAATATTTTACACATTGACGTAGTAAATTAAACAGGAGAGTAAACCCCAACCTTATCTTAGTGATCATCAAGAGACAAACAACCGTGAATATTAACAAAAACTGTGTAAAAAATGAATGGTTCAGAAAAACAAACTAAACCTTTTCATGCCAGAACATTATTTTGATCATAATCACTACAATGTACAGTACTTAGCATGAAATTGTGCATAGGTGTACATATGAGTGAATACACTTTATGTCAGTAACTACATATGACACACACTGCTAATGAAACATTCAGGATTACATGGAGGATTTCAACTGTGCTGTACAGTAAATCTAATGTAAATAGATTTTGAATGATCGACTAATATTTCAGTCGTGTTTTTAACCATATCAGAAGTAAATGATCTGAAATGTGAATGCATTTACTCCCTGGTTGCTGATGAGATACATGTTCAATAAAACATCATTTATATACAACCAAAGGCCATCAATTATTCTACAACAGTCGAAAATCTGAAAAATGTTGGGAGTATTGATGAGCACTGAAGCTAAACAATGACCCTGAGTAAACTGACCCTGCAAGATCTCCTTCAGGGATTGCAGAACTTGACACCACTAATGTATTTACTCAAGAAAAGTAATTTATTATTTTCTTAGTAAAAAAAAAGAAAAAAAAGAAAAAAAAAAGCCAAAAACCGCACATACAGTTTCACAGGGTGCGTTAACTTTTCCAGATCAGTGATCAGGGAGCACGCGGTTTTAAGTCTGTGAATATACCGGTAGGTAACTGAGGGCAAAATTTAACAGTGTAAAACATTTAAATTAGTCCAATTAGTGTCATTTACCACAAGTTTCATAATAATAAAGTAAACATTAAGCCGGTTTACATATATTTATTTCATTTCAATGGGATACGGTGGACATACAACAACAGACAAACACATCTTTATACATAACAGATTGTTGTATGTGCTCAGCACCTGCTCTGACGGACTTATAAAAGAGGACGGCACAGCGTTGCTTATTTTCTGAAACAAAAGCATATAAAACCCACTTCATCAGAAAGAATCTTCACATATATACAGTACGTAACAATACATTCCTATGTACAGAGGAAACCAAGAGGAGGAACAGCACAGGCTGTACAGGTTTTTAACTGTTTCCATGACGAACACAACATCTTTTTTGCAACAATGGGGTTCACCCTCGTTATGCTTTACCCCGTTACTTGTAGACAATCACAACAAATAAGCAAAACATTCATTTTCTACGTCATAACTAATTATTCCGTCAATCATTTACTTTGGCCTTGAAATATATTTACTTAAAACACATTAAAAATGAGAGGATTTGAAAAAGAAAAACATATTTTCCCCAAACTATCAGATTCTCATTGTGTACACATTTATATATCACTTTACTTTTAATGTTTATGCCTGTCGTGATGAAATTTTCTCCCTTGCAAAAGAAATTCGAACATCATTATCTGAGTAAAAGAAAGTGTTGAAATATAGAGGATCAAATATGACTGGACTTTAGCGCTAATAAATCATTTAAAGCTCACATCTTACAGTCAGAAATGTAATCTCTTTGACCTGCTATATTCCACTTTCCTTTGTTTCCTTTGTGTGAAATAGTGGAGACATTTAGTCACTGACAGACACATTTTTAATGTATATGAGGATATGAACCATATGATAATAAATAATCAAAATTCCAAATAGCTCAGTGTTTATGTTTAATTGATCAAATATTTAATACTGACTCTGGTGAGAATTTCAGGCCACCCGGCACCACATGGAGACACATAAATGAAGTCACAACGGTACTGCATGTACTGTAAACTGTATGGCCTACGTCCCTGAATGCTCAATGAAGGCTCGCTTGACTGCACTATCATTATTTATAGTCTGAGACCAATCCAGTGTTAGGGGTCATTCAAGGTCGAACAAGTGCTCTTCGTCATTTTCAGTCACGTCACTCTGCAGAGCGGCTGGTGTCGGTGGTTTTTGCTCTTTCAGATTCATCACTTCGTCTTTGAGGAAAAGAGACCTGCAAGAGGTGAAAAACAAAGACGTTTCAATCCATTATTGACACACATCGGTCATTTCATTGATCTTTGGAGTTCACTATAAACACAACTGACTGCTGGACTTGTAAAGAAATGTTTTGGTCACTGTGGCCGTTTGTTGCGTTGCTCTCCTGTATCTGACTCCGGGGGTTTCTGCTCACACTCTCCTTCTTGAATCCCGGCAGCGATGCCTCGGCCAGTGCCATCTACAAAGATGGATCAAAAAAATCAAACTATCACAACCAGCTCAGGCTCCTTTCATATCAAGAAGCTGCACTCAAACAACATGCGCTCACCTGTAAGCTGGCGTTCAGAGCGGTCCCGAAAGCGAGGTTCGAGGACACATTTTTGATCAGCGATGGACTCCTGCGGAATAAGAAAGGTTACAGAATTTCAAAATAGACATAATGCATGTCTAATTCACGGCAAGCAAATCAATGACTTGTATATATTCCACAAACCACAACATGGTAAACAGCAATAGTTTGAGGCAAGGTCGGTTATGATGACAAATAATTCATTGGAATGACTGATCAGGACAAGGCCTCGTATTAGTGCCTGTCACGATACTTATTCCGGTCGTATCTATCAGTCATTTATTGAGGACTATAATAAAAAAAAAAACTAACACGAGCAGTGCTGTAGATGCACTATGGAATCAATTCAGGCCTATTCTGTAGACAGGGAGAACACAGGACAGAGCGGTGCACGGAACCACACCTCACATGCTCTTTTAATGCATTTTGAATTGATGTCAGTCAGTGGGCTCCAGGCTTTTCTACCCTGTACACAAAGGTCAATTAAAACATCTTAATTTTTGTTAATTAAATTCAAGGTGTAAAAATGACTTAAAGAGGGTTAGTATTAAATTTGATCTATGGCAGACAGGGCCGAGTATATACTGGATTTGTCCAGTGTTTCATTCAGTTTTATGAGTGCTATATATTTTATAATGACAAAGATTTATTTGTATTTTAATTAATGATCCATGTTAAAACCCAGAAGAGGATGACATGACGTACTAAAAATGTTTTAAATATCGTCATATTTGAACGGAAATACACACAGACACCCTGATAACAGCGCTGTGACAAACAGGAAGTCATGTACTGTACCCTGTGATCTTCTGAGATCTCCTCCTCTGGTACTCCACCTCGTCCACCGTCCACACGGCACCTTTCACATTCTCCACACGCACGAAACACTTGTGCAGGCTCAGGTTGTGGCGCACCGCGTTCTGATCCAGAGAAAATCAGAGTGAAGGAGCTGTTAAGGAGTACACGCTGCATAGATCAGGTGTGACACACACTCTGGGATCACACAGTTAATTATCTGCGGGTGCAATACCTTCCAAGTGGCAGCGTTGCGTCTGAAATAAGCGAACGTCCGTGTGAACCAGTTGTAGATCTCGTTGAGCGTCAGCTGCATGTCTGATGCTTCCATAATAGCCTGCAAATGGAGAGGGAATAAAAAACTGAAGCACATTACAGGATCAAATTAAAGCC